TTTTTTAAAAAAAAAAAAAAAAAAAAAAAAAAAAAAATTATTAATAAACAAAAATATAATGTGAATTATTGTATATTAAAAAATTTAACTTTTAATCATATTATTATTATTATTCATTGCTGTTGCTATTTTTAATTAAAAATTAAATATGTTATATATTATTATATTATATTTTATTTATTGTTATGTTATTATTTTTTAGAAAAATAAATATGTTATATATTATTATATTTTATTTTATTTATTATTATGTAATTATTTATTTGTTAGCTGAAAAATATAAACTTGTTTTTATTTATTTTATTTTTTATTTTTTGAAATATAAACAAATTTATATTTGAAAAGTAATCTATAAAAAATATTGTATAAATTATGTAAGTTTTCTGCCATACTTGCTAAATTTAGAAATGTCTTGCATGTTTTTTTTTCAGTGTATCATGTGCGAGTGAGGATCGTGATAGTGGGGGCTTAGGTCTTACCGCCTTTTGTAATCAATCTTGGCGCCTTTTAGGGAGATGTTGGCCTCGGTGGGAAAGAATGTGGCGTCGTAGAAGTTGAGTCCGTTCTGGAGCAGAATGTTGTACTCGTCCATGGAGGCGAGTGTTATACGTATAACAGCTGGCGGCAGCTCTCGGCGCTCCGGACGCTCCGCCTTCTCAATGGCCTCGCCCACAATGCCAGAGACGAGGCTCTTGGCGCTGCTGCTGCCTGAAAGAGTTTTTGCATCGAATATATGAACGTTTTTTCTCAGTGTGCGTGTGTGTGTGTGTGTTCAATTGGCATTGGGACATTTACTTCGTATGGCCGCACGGCGCAGAGTTTGGCCCGGGCTCGGAGAGGCTGTGAGCTGCTCACCTTCAACCTTGTCCGGGTTGGAGCTGGCGGAGCCGCCGCTGGCCAAACCCGGGCTGGAATAGATGTGGAGGCGCACCACCTCCACCACCGAGTCGAACTTGTACATGGCATGCCGTATATCCTCCACGGGCAGATCCTCCGGCACATCCAGCACATAGAGCGTAAAAGTCTTTCGCGGACGACACGGAATGGCGATCTGCAAGGCAAACAGGGTCAACAGACAGACAAACGAATCAGAGCACGCTGATGCTCAGAGATTTTACGGCTGAAGCGAGCAGAAATGATTTCTACTATCTATGAACAGATGTATGTATGTATATCTACTATATACATGTATGTACATACAATATATGTATATACAGGTGTGAGCATATGTTACATATGTATGTATATGTACTACTATGTATGTATATGGTTTGCCAATGGATTTTGCCAATAGGAAATACTCACGCTGCGCGAGAATGTTTGCTGGAAAAATGTTAAAAGATTTTCAAAAGATTTCACAATTCAATGAGAGAGAGAGAGAGAGAGGTTGGGAGAGTGTGTGTGTGTGCGAGAGAGGGATAGAGATAGTGTGTGAGAAAGAGAGTGTGTGTGTGAGAGAGAGAGAGAGTTGACACTCTATGGATGATCTCTAAGTATAATGTTATGAGAGAGAGAGAAAGAGAGAGAGATAGATAGATAGAGAGAGAGAGATAGATAGATAGAGAGAGATAGATAGATAGAGAGAGATAGATGGATAGAGAGAGAGTGATAGATAAAGAGAGTAATAGAGAGAGAAAGAGATAGAGACAGAGAGAGATAGAATGCGAAAGAGGGAGAAGTGAGATATGGAGAAAGTGAGAAAGCAAGAGAGAGAGAGATATCTATGTATTTACATACATATATATGATATCTAATGATAAGTTAGCCTTTACCAACAATGAAAGAGCATGAGAGTTAGAGAGCAAAAGACAGAGAGAGAGTGCGTACAAAGGACGAGATAGCAAAAGACTGAGATAGAGAGTGAGAGAGAGAGAGAGAGAGAACAGGAGGGCACAGAAGGGAACAGATCAAATAAAGTGTAAATGCGATGTAGTGTGATAGAGAGCGTGAGTAAATAAGAGGGAGAGAGAGAGAGAGAGAGAGAGAGAGAGAGAGAGAGAGAGAGAGAGAG